GGAATCTGGAAGCAAGAAATCGAGATTTCAGGTCCTGGCAGCAAGGTTTCCAAGCATCATGAACCCGAACGACACCATGGCGGCCAGGGAGGAAATGACCAAAGCTGGCATGGATCGGGACGACATCGACAGGATGTTCAACAGATGCGATGGATGGTACAGACCTTGGTGCATCCGAGTCACAACTGGTCACAGTGATTTTGGATTCATGAGCTCATCCGCACTGGCAAATAGGTATTCCGCAAGGATGGGTGATTCTCTCGGAGGAGCATTCCATGTGACGTATGTGGAAAATCTGCCAAGCATCGTACGCTGTGGGCTAGTCCCCGGCGGGATCGATGGCGGTAACAGGCTAGCACTGCACTTCGGAGCGTTCGCTCCATGGGATGAGATGAACGTAGCAACGAAGGTGACGCTACGGAACGTAAGGAAGGGGGATCCGATTGCGATCATCTACATTCCCAGTGCAACCCTCGCGCGGTATGGAGCTGGAGTCGCGGCAAATGGGACATTCATGGTCTTTGACGTGATCCCGTTCTATGAGGTCAAGTCCATTTGGATTGGCAAGAGCAACGGAGGGAAACGCCTGGAGTACGTCGACATCAAGAGGGCGTACTCGAAGTGTGTGGAGAACGAGATCTGCCCTGGCTTCGTCAACTCATCCCAAGAGTCTGCTGCGATGTTCCTCCAGAACGTCACAAAGATCAGCGAGAGGATGCCCGAGACCGAGACAGGTGCCGATAATCTGCACTACATCAGAGACATGGTTGATCGTGCATGCGAACTCTATCGGAACAACAAGATGGAGGAGTTCAACGCGCAGGTCAACGAGGTCAGGGACGAAATCAGCAAAGTCGTCATCCTGAATGATGAGACATGGGAAGGACTGAGGTGCCGGATATGTCCATCATGTGCGACCGCGATCCCCACCTGCTTCTGCTTATGCCTGGAGTGCGAGGCGCAACTGATCTCCACCGGGAGGTACTACATCCACATCAACTCCGATGACGAGGAGGACAACCAAAACCCCAACGTCTCGGGAGATGCCAGGCGTGCACAGGAAGAAGCCAACCACGATGCGGCGGCACAGGAGGATGATGACGAAGCGGAGGAAGTTCCGGGAGAAGATGACGACATGGACACGCAAGGATATACATCCGGCTATGCGTCAGAAGAGGAAGACAGCGGTTGGCATTACCGCGACACCGATCTGGCGTCACGGGACATTATAAGTTCCCAACGGATGGCGATCTGCCTTGACGAGCCGCGTGAGGCTCAGTACATGGCAGGTTTTATCGCACTCCAGATGTCCAAGATGTGGGGGATGTTCGAGGGTGGTGAGGAGAGAACGATGAATGCCCAACTCGAGGGGAGACCGGGCTGCCCTTACCACAATGACTTCAAGAGGTACCCCAACATGACTGAGCACGATCAGGAAGGTATACTTTTGCCATCAACAACAACGAAGATTTCTCAATCGGAGAATGTTCGGACAAGAGCCTTCCGATCGGTTGAGGAGCGTGACGAATATATTCGTATGATGGTGTGCAAATGCGAGGGACTATACACATTCTACAAGCTGTGGATTGCAGCGAGAATCCTCGATGTCACCAAGGACGAAATGAAGCTCCTGGTCAAGGACCGAGTGCACCCGGTAGGTGATATTATTTTCAGATGCTTTGCACTGGCTTTCAACTGTAAGTATATATCATTCGTGAGGGATGGCCTGAACCTTGGCAAATATGGTTACGCGGTCAACGTGAGCGCCATCATCTCGGCCGTCGACCCGAACAAGTGTGACACGCCTCTGCTGGATTGGTGCCTTCGGAAAGGGCACTGGCTACCAGAGGATTACAGCAAGAAGTGTGTCCGGGCACGAGAAGCCCAGAAGAACTTGGACGAGGAGTTCCGTCGGCGCACTCACAGACTGTCCATTGGGGACAGGTATGCGCAGTGAAAATGATGATTGCGGCACGATGTGGGTTAGTCCCCATCCGTTGCTTGCGTCTCATTGACACTATTGCGATGGAACGACTTTACATCATGATATGATTTCATGCGTCCAAGTTGAATGGATGTGTATATGGTTACATATTCCGACGACTATGACATTCTGGATATTCATGGATGGAACTATTACCTCATGGATGATTTCCTTTTCATTATATATATATATATGTTTATTGTTCATGGTATCTGGAATGGCTATGATTTGCATTGATTGCTCACCGATATTTCTTTGCCGGAGATATGCAGATTGCTTACGAGCAGGCGCCTCTGTTGGACTCTTATGGCCAACCCATTTTCTATGGATGACGGCTGCGCGATGCGCAAATGCGGCAGCTGGGATGTTCACTGGTGGTCAAATGACGTGACGATTGTGTATTGTATACACCTGCATATGGGAGTGCGCTTCGATTGGTGGATGAATGTTTCACTTTTCATACAATCGAACCCGGCATGTTTCACAACGAATGAACGGTGTAGCGATAGCAAGTAAAAGAATGCACGACACGATTTCGTAGCTGAAGCCGTGGCCAGTGGAACGTTTTGTGGTGTTTGGACCGCATGATGAACAATGCGACCCAAATGGGGGATGTTAAAACCCTCTAGGCCCCGTGCCTAAATTGGGAAGCTGTTCTGAGGTCCGTGTTGGTGTTGCTTTCCAAGTTCCATTGATCGCCATTTGGCTCAAGACACAATTGAGGTTCAAGATCTGATGTGTAGCTGCATTCATACGTGATCGGCATTGAGAGCGGAAAACACTTCGCTTGCGCTGCATTTGTCAGGACCACGGTTGTAACTATCATCCCTTCCCCCTTACAACGTTTACACGGGTTCGGCTATAACGGCATCGTCCGTATACACCTTTCTACGTGGTTGGTATTACAGCTGGAGGGTTCGGTGCATAGCGTCCCACGGGACGTCACCTTGCCGTCTCTTGACACTTTCCAACCGGCTGACAGGTGGCTGGCTGGAGAGCGACGAGTGCTGTGGGAGGAGGCGGTTCGCCCGGCTCGTCAAGGCCGCGCCGAGAACCCCGCTGATGACGCCAGACGTGGCCTTCCCAGCAAGGCAGTGCAGGGGCTCGCCGGGGCCGCCGCTGAAGCTGCCATGCGCTCCGGGCAGGCCGCCAGCCACCGGCCGGCCGCGTGCCAATAGGTGCGATTCGTGGCTTCCGGCGCGGGGTGGTGAAGTCCTGACATTCCTCACCAGGCTCTCCAACCTGCTGGCCAATGGCGAGGCGCCCGGTCACCTGTGCCCGTACATTGGCGGCGGTCCGAGATAAACACCTTGCAACAGCATCTTCTCCCTCTGCAGCTGGCTGTGGGTGTGAAGGCGGTGCCCCGGCGAGAGGGTTTCCGGCATGATCCCCACCGTGTTCTGCTGACCTATGACGCAATGCAGTGGGCCCCGGCATGAGCAGGTGCTGGAGTTCATATGCCCAGCCGCCTCGGCCACGCGGGTGCTCTGGTCCGGGGGGCAGCAAGGATGGCGTGCCATGCTATGGTCCACCGGGTGCTTCTCGAGAGTGTGGTGGCCCTTCTGGGTGGCTCTGTCACTCAAGCGCCCCTTCTTCAACTTCCCACGCGGTTAGACATGGCTCCATGCTTTGCTGATGACGGGATCCTGGCTTGCTCGGCGTCGGACGGAGAGGTTCTCCGTTGCCTCCAGCGCATAGCCAGTCCGGCAACTTCGAGGTGCTGAAGTCACCCGTGGGGGTGCGTGACTTCTGCGAAGCATTTTCTGCGGGGACTGCGCGCAAGCACGGCGCGATCACTGCCAGCATTGCCTCGCTGCCCGACCCCAGGCGGCCCACTTCCGCTTGCAGTGACCTGCCAGGGTGGCAGGATGGACCACCTATGCCGGACAACGCCCGCGGAGCTGTGTGGCCCTGGCCTGGAACTTTGGTGCCGCAGCCAGGGACGCTTTCCGTCGCACTTTGCTTTCAGGATCGGCAATGGGAGCAGGTTGCCTTGCCGGCGCGTGATGGAGGGGTCGGTTTTCGACCCAGCGTCACCATGGCGGATGTTGCTTATCTTGGGTCCCGGGTGCTTGGCGTTGCTGCGTGGCCTGCGTTCCACTGGGATGCGGCGCTGCCGCGTGAGCTTTCTGGAGCAGGCAGCGGAGCGGTGCAATGCCCGGCTGGCCTGGCGAGCCGCGTCAGTGTCTAAGCCTGAGCTGTTTGCTTGACGAGGCGGCGGTGCGAGCCTGGAAGCAAGACGGGCCCGACGACGTGCGCCGGCTACATTCCTTTGCCGGTCCGCATGGTTGTCGCGTTGCGCGGGTGACCTCTTCGCAAGCACTTGGCCAACGCTTGACTGCCGCTGAGTTCATCTCCATGATGTCTTGCCGGCTTGGGGTTGATGCTTGCGATGCGGGCTCACCTTGTGGCTTCTGTGGGCGGCCTATGGACCGCTTGGGGCGTCACGCTCTCAGCTGCATGGCCGGTGGCGCAGTGCTTGTGCACCATCAACTTCGCGGTCTCCGTTTGGACTACTGTCAGCGGGCGCCAAAGGTGGCCTGCCAATGTCCGGTCCCGGAAGCATTGACGACAGCTACATCGAGGGCAACACTGCGCGCCCAAGGGCAAGAGCCATCGGGCAAGTGGGCCGCCGGACATCAGCTGGGCGACGGCCACCTTCAGGTATGGGCAAGTCGCGTAGAGCTTTTGGTGCCTCCGAAGTTCTCCGAAGCGCTCTGCAGGCAGCGGCCAAGGCTTACTCCTCGTCCAAGCAACGCCGCCAGCAGATCGAGGCGAAGTGCAAGGAGCTCGGGGTCGACTTCCAGCCCCTGGTGTTTGAGGCGCAGGGCGGGGCTACGGACGAAGCCGCGGCTTTCCTCAAGCACTTTGCTGCTGCGGTCTCGGCCGCCGAAGAGCGGACTGAGGCAGTGGCGCGGACAAGGTGGCTACAAGTAAGGTCCGGCAGAGCCGGGGGGCGGAAGTTTCAAAGCAGTGAACAACTATAGTTTGGAGAACTGTCCTTGGCCCCTTGCTTCTCTCTCTCTCTCTCTCTCTTTTTCTCTCTTTCTCTCTTTCTCTCTTTCTCTTTCTCTTTCTGTTTCTCTGTCTCTTTCTCTCTCTTTCTATCTATCTCTCTAGCTATCTCTATATCTGTTTATTGATCTATCTATCTACCCATCTTTCTCTGCACTTAAAAGTTGCGATGTTCAATCCCCGAAAGTTGACTTCGCGTACTACTTTCGTACTTAAAAGTTGCGATTTTCGAGCCCCAGCTGCGAAACTGGACTTCACGTACTACTTTCGTAGTTAAAAGTTGCGATTTTCGAGCCCCAGCTACGAAAGTGGACTTCGCGTACTACTTTCGTACTAAAAAGTCGCGATTTTCGAGCCCCAGCTGCGAAAGTGGACTTTGCGTACTACTTTCGTACTTAAAAGTTGCGATTTTCAAGCCCCGGCTGCGAAAGTGGACTTTGCGCGCTACTTTCGTACTTAAAAGTTGCGATTTTCAAGCCCCAGCTGCGAAAGTTGACTTCGCGTACTACTTTCGTACTTAAAAGTTGCGATTTATCTATAGATCTACCTATTATCTACCTCTCTATCTCCTATCTATCTATCTACCTCTCTATTTATTTATCTCTCTATCTCTTTATCTATCTAGCTAGTTATTTGTCTATCTATCTACAAATCTATCTATCTCTGTCTATCTCTGTTTCTCTATCTCTTTCTATCTATTTCTCTAGCTATCTCTATATCTGTTTATTGATCTATCTATCTACCCATCTTTCTCTGCACTTAAAAGTTGCGATGTTCAATCCCCGAAAGTTGACTTCGCGTACTACTTTCGTACTTAAAAGTTGCGATTTTCGAGCCCCAGCTGCGAAACTGGACTTCACGTACTACTTTCGTAGTTAAAAGTTGCGATTTTCGAGCCCCAGCTACGAAAGTGGACTTCGCGTACTACTTTCGTACTAAAAAGTCGCGATTTTCGAGCCCCAGCTGCGAAAGTGGACTTTGCGTACTACTTTCGTACTTAAAAGTTGCGATTTTCAAGCCCCGGCTGCGAAAGTGGACTTTGCGCACTACTTTCGTACTTAAAAGTTGCGATTTTCAAGCCCCAGCTGCGAAAGTTGACTTCGCGTACTACTTTCGTACTTAAAAGTTGCGATTTTCGAGCCCCGGCTGCGAAAGTTGACCTTGCAAAAATGCTGCGCCTGCCACCAAATCTGTGCTTGACCTTGCTAAAGTGCTGCGCCTGCCACAAAATCTGTACTTGACCTTGCGAAAGTGCTGCGCGTGCCACGAATTTTGCACTTGACCTTGCGAAAGTGCTGCGCCTGCCACAAATTCTGTACTTGACCTTGCGAAAGTGATGCGCCTGCCACGAATTTTGTACTTGACCTTGCGAAAGTGCTGCGCCTGCCACGAAATCGATACTTGACCTTGCGAAAGTGCTGCGCCTGCCACGAAATCTATACTTGACCTTGCGAAAGTGCTGCGCCTGCCAAAGGCTGCGCCTGCCACGCAATTCAAACCTTGCGAAACTTCGCGCGGCCGTGCCAATGGGCCCGTCTCCGAGACCGAGTTCCGAGACCGTTCCGAGACCGCCTCCGTACAGGCGTCGCAGCCGAGGTGGTTTGCGCACAGTCCGGAAGCCCAATTCACGCACAGCGCCAACGTTTTCTGCATCTTGCCATCCCCCAGCTCGCAGAGAGTGGACGCAGCACCTTGCGAAAGTGCTGCGCCTGCCACGAAATCGATACTTGACCTTGCGAAAGTGCTGCGCCTGCCACGAAATCTATACTTGACCTTGCGAAAGTGCTGCGCCTGCCACGAAATCTATACTTGACCTTGCGAAAGTGCTGCGCCTGCCACGCAATTCAAACCTTGCGAAACCTTCGCGCGGCCGTGCCAATGGGCCCGTCTCCGAGACCGTTCCGAGACCGTTCCGAGACCGTTCCGAGACCGTTCCGAGACCGCCTCCGTACAGGCGTCGCAGCCGAGGTGGTTTGCGCACAGTCCGGAAGCCCAATTCACGCACAGCGCCAACGTTTTCTGCATCTTGCCATCCCCCAGCTCGCAGAGAGTGGACGCAGCACCTTGCGAAAGTGCTGCGCCTGCCACGAAATCGATACTTGACCTTGCGAAAGTGCTGCGCCTGCCACGAAATCTATACTTGACCTTGCGAAAGTGCTGCGCCTGCCACGCAATTCAAACCTTGCGAAACCTTCGCGCGGCCGTGCCAATGGGCCCGTCTCCGAGACCGTTCCGAGACCGTTCCGAGACCGTTCCGAGACCGTTCCGAGACCGCCTCCGTACAGGCGTCGCAGCCGAGGTGGTTTGCGCACAGTCCGGAAGCCCAATTCACGCACAGCGCCAACGTTTTCTGCATCTTGCCATCCCCCAGCTCGCAGAGAGTGCTTGCGAAAGTGCTGCGCCTGCCACGAAATCTATACTTGAGAAAGCTATCTACGTGTTAAGCTGGCTATATGTCAAAGCTATCTATCTGTCATGCAAGCCTATTGGAAAGCTATCTATCTGTCAAGCTAGCTATATGTCAAAGCTATCTAAGCAAGCCTATTGGAAAGCTATCTATCTGTCAAGCTAGCTATATGTCAAAGCTATCTATCTGTCATGCAAGCCTATTGGAAAGCTATCTATCTGTCAAGCTAGCTATATGTCAAAGCTATCTATCTGTCATGCAAGCCTATTGGAAAGCTATCTATCTGTCAAGCTAGCTATATGTCAAAGCTATCTATTTGTCATGCAAGCCTATTGGAAAGCTATCTATCTGTCAAGCTAGCTATATGTCAAAGCTATCTATCTGTGCTAGCTATATGTCAAAGCTATCTATTTGTCATGCTAGCTACCTGTCATAGCTATATGTCAAAGCAGCTAGCTCATTTAGTTCCAGTACTACGGAAGTTTCTTGTTAAACTTCCTTTGATAATTCTGGCGCGCGCGGGCACGCGCGCCCTGCGGCACCGGCGCCGGGCCCTTCACCGGCTTGCCGTGGCTGGCTTGCGGGCTGCGGCTGCGCCTGGTCGCATGTTGGCCCCTGCCTAATGATGCGGCGTGTTGCGCGGGGTGAGTGTCTTCTGCGTGAGCTAAGTACCATTCCTGTTTGTCATTGATGCGCTCGAGTACTCTGAGCGCTACCCAAACCAGCTGGCGGAGGGCTTTGACCTTCTGGTCCAGGACGCAGTTTCCACTCGCCTTCACACGCACCTAAAGGAGGCCTGGGGCCACAACTGGCAGCTTCTGCGGAACGGTGTGGCTCAGCCTACTCCTATGTAGCTTGTCTTGTGTTTGACGAGATCATGCCTCTGTGATGGCATGCCAGCCTTGGCCAGAGATTTCACAGCACAGAATGGTGCTTGTATCATGCTGGGCCACATCGAGCAGACTGCTCGGTTTTTGTCTGCCAGGCACATGTCTTGGCAGCAGAAGATGTCCGATCGACAGCGGCCGGCGATGGCACGGATTGCAGATTATCCATCGAGTCTGTGGGACATGAGCTACAATATAGTATTTGGTGGCAACCTGCTTGTGACAAAAAATCGTTCTATCTCTCTTTCTATCTCGCTGTGTCTTCTCGACCTTTCTGTTCATCTGTCATTATGCTTATGTATCTATCTTGCTAGCCACCTATCTTGCCAGCTAACTATCCGTCTATCTGTCTATCGGTCTGTCTGCCTTTCTGTCTACCGACCGACATACATCTATCTATCCATCTATCTTGCTATGTAGCTTTCTATCTATCTATTCATCTGTTTCTCTGTCTTTCTTTCTGTTTCATTGGCCTACCTTTTTATGTAACTATCTTGCTAACTAGCTATCTGCCCATCTGTTCTTCTGTCTTTCTGTCTTTCTGTTTAGCTGTCGAGCTATCTCGCCATCCATCTATTATATCCACCATCTACTTAAGTATCTGTCTGTCTGTCTAGCTGTTTATCTTTCTTGCTATCTTTCCAGGTGTCTGTCTGTTTGTCAATAGTCTATCCATCTGTTAAAACCCTCTAGGCCCCGTGCCAAATTGGGAAGCTGTTCTGAGGTCCATGTTCTTGTTGTTTGAGAGCTCCCTTTGGAAACCACATTTGGCTCAAGTCACAAGTAGGGCTCAAGGTCTTGCATGAACTACGTTCGCCTGTGATCGATCTGTGAGAGAGAAAACAGGTTCATTCGCGCTGCTGATATCGGACGTGTGTGTGT